CGCTATGAGCATGAAGGGATGTTTTAATGATCCTATTGAATGGTTTTGCTAATATTTAGTGTAGTGTAGTAATTTGTTCCTATTTCATAATGTAGTAAATATGTCCATTCTATATAGAGTAAATATGTTGTATAATAAAGGAATCAAATTGCTAGTAAATTTTGTAAAAGTGTGTATGTTCTAGTAAGTATTACTATGGATTTCATAATTTACTCCAAGAAAGGAAACCATATTTAACATGAACTTATTTTAGTTTAGAAATTAAATATATATAAATATACATATATATGTTTTTAACTACAAGTTTATTCTTTAATAGGATTTTAAATAACCTTCTTTCCTAGGCGTGCATTTTCTAGGTTCTCAATGGCCAAGGGATACTTAGGAAATACCTGGCTAGGGAGGGGTTTTACAGTCTCTAGGCTCAACCCTTATTAACTCATATAATAAGCACTTTTTCCCATTTTGCCCTTGTACTTTCTTGAAAATTCCATCTTTCCCTTTAATTCTTTACAAATACACCCTACTCCAAGCATTCTCCTTGAAATTTCCTTGCATTACCTCTCACTTTCCTGCTATTAGGGTAGAATGGTCATTTCACCTGTATAGAAATTTCTCTTGAAACTTCACAGAAAAAAATTAGCCGTCTCTTTGCCCTAGAGAAAAAATCCAGAGTGTACGTTCTGTGGCGAAGCTTATTCTTCGCCCTGGCGAGTTTGCACTTCCATGATTTCGCCAATACTTCAACAAATTTAGGGCATCCAAGCAACTTCAACACTTAGAAACTAAACCAAGGGCAACCAATCAACATAACAACATACACTTTACTTAGGGCCAACAAACAACCACCAGACAAAACAATAAGCTACAAAAGTACGTGCCTCAAAGTGGGCGTTACAATTGACTCTTGGCATAAACATAAAAGTTATAGGGCCATATCTTAATTTCTAATGCTTCAAGAATCATCTCATTTCTATTTTATACGATAAGTTATGGTCGAAATACTGAAGCATGTTTGACATAAGCCCTAAATTGCCAAATCCGAATTTTTCATATTAACCATGCCATATTAACTTCTATTGACATTAACAAATATGTCAACTTATGGATCATTAAACCTCCCCTTAATAGTCTTTAACATCTTAAAGGAAGAGTAAAACCTCACTCCCATGATCATCCATCATTGTTATACATTGTAAGTTAATGCAAACAACACATCAACACTTCAATGCAACCATTCAACACCATGTGGCCTCTAATACTATAAGTTTTGCCACAATCAACATCAATACTTCATTTTCTTCAATTAAACACAACTCATAAAACATAAATGGCAATAACTTCATGTTATAATAATTCCAGCTAATTAACATGAATGAGTTCAACTACACTTGCCAGCAACTAATTCTGCCTTAAAGCCTTAATTTAAGGTTTCATTAAATCTACAAACCCTAGCATAATTCCTAATCATGGGGGTTCTTCCTTCCCTTTTTAAAGAATTCCTCCAACAAATCATTTGCCTTTGTCTTCTTTTACACCTTAATCCTACTATAACATTATACCTCAACATTTACTTCAATCACATCAAAACTAGGGTTTTTAATCCTTCCTTAAATCCTTCAACTTGAAGATCCAAGGCTCCTATCTTGTTCTCCTTGAAAAATTTGCAACTCCTTTAAAACTTAGAGAGAGAAAGCTTGTTTCATGGAAGATTTGAGAGAAATGAGAAAGTTGAAGAAATGCTATCTCCCTTGGCTTGAACGAATTTCCTCTGTTTATAAAAATATTTCATTAATTTTCAAAATTATGCTATTGGCCTAATTATTTAATTGTATAACTCATAAGTCATTAATTCTTCATATAAGGGCATTTTGGTCATTTCGCACTAAACATAATTATTACTTAATTAAGTCTACTCATCCTTGACTTTTGCAATGCTTATCCTAGGCAAAATGATATTTTTCCCCTATACCCTTTTATGGACAATTGATTCATACCGTTCCCAAACGAATTGACTATTTTGCCCTTTGTTAGATTTTATGCTTTTAACATAAAATTAACATCTAAAGGACTATTTTGAGTTGAGAACATATCTTTGACATCTTGGGTATTACATGGATGATGAACCCATAAAGCATAAACTTTGTTTAAAAAAAAAGAAAGTGGTTTTATTTAATATGAAAAACATTAAGGAAAGTGGGAGGCCAATTCCATGAGCTTATCACTATTTTATTTATTGATATTGACCATGCATTAAACCTTGTTTTATTTCATACAACTCATTATTAACTATATGAAAGTCTCTCATATAAATTATTTATTATTATTAAATAATTGAATAAGATTATGATTTGGGTATTAGGTTCACATTAATTAAAGGATGATCACATTTGCGTTTCATATTATAAAATCAACATTAATTTCGCATTACAAGTTATACATGCTCATATTAAATATTTTGATATTTTGTTGGTATAAATATATGTCTAGATCTATATTCAAAGATAACATTGTTTTATGCATGACATAATTTATTTTGTAATACAAATTTTAGTTATTTGATTTAACGCTATTCAATGGATTTAACGAGAAACTAGAGGTAATTATTTTATTGTTAACTATTAGATTACTTTTTTTTAAGGGTCGGATAATTTGTATCACAGATTTATTAGTTCATATATATATATATATATGTAAAAGTAAAAGAAGATGCAAGAACATTACTTGCTTTTTGACATAAAATGTGACAAATTTTAAGCATGCATAATGAACACGGTAGCATGAATGGTCTACCTTCAAAGTGTTGCTTTCAATATTATATTTTTATTTTATTACTCCTAAAAGTATGCCTTTATTATAGGACCATTAGTATTAACTTGGCCTTCCTTAATTTTATTGATATAATGGAGTTCATTTCAATATATCATGCCATAGTGATAACAAAATTCTATTTCTCTCTATATGTTTTGGAATTATTGATAATTGTTTATGATATTTACCTTCTAGATTTATATGAACAATATATTTAGAGTATTTATTAAATAAATAATTAATATATATTTTGATAATAAATTTACATTTTACAGGATATAACCATCAATCAAAACTAAACAACATACATAAAAGAAATAATTTTTTTCATATATATATTTATATTTAAAACCATTGTTTTTATTTTCTTAGTGGAGGTAAACAAATTAAGTGAAAATAATTCTAAATGTATCCAAAAAAATTCATTTCATACCTAAGTAAAAGGTTGAGTAAAAAGGAAAAGATGCCAATTGACATATGTTGAGTATTTTGGTGGACATTCCAAAATCCTTTTTTTATTTTTATTATATGGTTGACAACTAAGCCTAATAAATAGATATAGAAAAAGTCTCAATTAAGCATTACTTTGTATGAAGCTTAATTAAAGGTATTAAGAAAAAACATTGTCTTCCTCAAGCATTATTTTGTATGGTTTGTGACTTTTACCTAACCATAGCTCATGCAACCAAACCTAGTTACCAAAAAAAAAAAAAAAAAACCTACTTAACTTTTAGGCTTTACCCAACAAAATTAATTTTCATTTGGTGCGATCATTTTCAATTTGGTAAAAGTGTTTCTAATTTGAGTAAATATTGAGTGACGTTATTTTATCTTTTTAAATCTTAGTTATTATTAAATTTTTAATTATAATTTTATCTCTTATTAAAATTCCTAAATAAGATATAAAAGAGTTATACGTATCTAAACATTTTATTTTCTCTTTCAATCATAAATTATATTTCAATAAATTCTAATTCTATTTTCAATGGGCTTCGAAGAGGAGGGACATGCCAAGTATCCGCTTGGGACCATGTCTTTTTAGGACTATACTGGATGTACAATTCCATTTGGATAGTAATATTTTATTTCAGTTGGAAAATACATTCAGATTTTTGGGATAGTATAAGTGATCAAGGGTTGGTAACTCATATTACAGGAGGAAACTTTACGCAGAGTTCCATTACTATTAATGGTTGGCTCATGAAGGCGAAATTTATGCAATTTAGAGATTTTGATTAAGATTATGTAAGTATAATGAAAATATAATATATGCTTTGCAATTGTAAGTTACTTTGTTAATTTTCTTTATCTTTTTCTTCTCAAAATTTATAAGTTAATTTGATGCATTCAAATTTTTTAATTATTATTCTTACAATTTTGAAAGTGAAAACATATCCGAATGAATTTCATCTAAAAACTTCACATTCAACACCAAGAAGCACAAAAAATATTAAAAACATAAATAAAAGGGCATAGTTGAAAGTTGGTGGGATTTTTTAATGCATATGTTAAAACGTTCTAACGGGGTTAAATTTAGAAGAGTCTTGAAAGATGAATATGCGTTTGTATTTCTTGTGTGTGCTGTTCATGTGTTACCACAGTAGAAACAATAATATTTATATAAAAATATAAATTATTGAAATAAAATCATTTTATTATTATAAATTTTTTTACATATACACAATATCATAAGAGACAAAAAATAACTCTTTATAGTATTACATATATGTATATATCTTTCATATAAATTGAATATTTTATAATATAATTAAATAACTTAAAACTAAATATAAATTAAATAAATTAAAATAATCGATATAATAAGTGTACAAGTAACAAGATTGTCAATTCAGATGATAAAAATTAGTTTTTTTATTAAAAATTCTGCAAATTCGTCTTTCTGTTCATCGATACAACCATGGTTGAATTTTCCTAAAATGGTCATATTCAAGGAAGTATATGATAGTAAATACAGATAATATCAGGGGCATTCAAGTCCAAGAAAATAAAAAATTTACTTCACCTGAATAGAAGTACCGTTCGCCAAAAGCCTTACGTAGTTACGTGTCAAAGACCCAGATATATAAATTCAATTGCACACAACCCAAACACAACACGCTTCATCACTCTTCATATAAAAAAAAAAAAAAAAAAAAAAAAAAAAAAAAAAAACTCCAAAATCCTTCTAATCTAATATCTCTTGAGAAGTCTCTCTACTCAATTACCCAGAGCCAATTCTTACTATTCCCGCCGCTTACGTTTCCAATTTTGAGATTCTTTGATCAAAATTTGATTTTTTTATGTTTTAGTTATGGCTGAAACGGAGAGAGTCGCGGGTATTGCGATGGAATTTTCTCTGAGTGATGAAACCGCCGAAACTTCGTCGTTTTCGTCGCCGATCAGAGTCCCTGGGAGGATTCGAAAGAGGCTTTTGAACGAGAGTAAAACTCCTTGTACTGTTGAAGAAATTGAAGCCAAGCTTCGACTTGCTGATCTTCGCAGACAGGTTTAACTCTATTTTCAATTTCAGTTTATAATTTTCTCGCAGAATTTGAGAAATTAAAGCAAAACCTAGACTTTTTTGTCGCTGATTATTCAATATGTGATTTTTTTTTTTTTTTGGGTGATGATATTCTTATAGATTAAACAGTGTATAACTCTTCGTATATATGGAGATACCCAGAATAATTTGTTGGTGATGTGTTGTGTGTGATGAAAGTTCTGATTTTTTTTTTCTAAATTAAACTGTGTAATATTTTTTTGGACTTTAAGTTAGGTTCCATGGAGTGTTAGTTTAGCTTCTGAATCTTTGTAATTATTTATTGGTTTTGATTTGTGGAGAATTGGAAGATTCAATACTCAAATTGGTTGATTTTGTTTTGGGTAAAGTTAAATTTGTAAAATCTTTATTATGAAGGTTTTTGAATTTTTACTTGTGTTAGGTAAGGTGGGTGCTCCTTGTCTTTGAAAATTTCTTGGCACTTTTCTTATTTGGTATGTTTTGCACATGGACTTGTCTCTTTCTCTCCTTGTGAAACTTATGGTTTATTATTTTTTTTTAAATATTCTTTTCACATGTTTTATACTTTTTATTGTTTCTTGGCTTTTTTCTGCTTTCTTTTTCTGGTAATAGGATCATCTGTTTCTGTAGTTTGAAAATTTTCCTTCTTTATATTGAGTTAGTTTACTTTCTTTTAATGGTAATAACATTTTGGTTCTCTTGTTTGAAGGATTTTTCGCCTCTGTGTTGAATGTTCTTTACTTGTTTGGTTGGTTCCTTTCTTTTCTTTGTCTGGTTGTAACATTATTTGGTATTTTAGTTTGAAAGGTTTTCCCTCTTTGTATTCTTTGATTTAGCTAAATGTAAGTTTAACCTGAAGATAGCCTTTTTCTGCTTTTGATTGCAGCAATTCTATGAGAAGTTATCAAGCAAGGCAAGGCCGAAGCCAAGAAGCCCCTCACAGTCTTGTGCTCATGAGGAGGACCTTGGTCAGCGCCTTGAAGCGAAGCTTCAAGCAGCCCAGCAGAAGAGGTAAAAGCTTCAAGCTGTATTAGAAATTAATAGTCCAATGGGTATTTTAACATGTTGATATTGACTACTTTTTCCCTGAGAAAGCAAGTATAGTTAGTCCCCACACTCTTCATTTTAGTCCCACCCTTATCTGAATTGTGTTTCTTTGATCATCTTACTTAACTGATAAGTCATGATATGTTGTGTGAGACTAATGATGACAATTCTTTTCCTCAAATATTTTGACGGCCCACATTTTTGTGAATGTTTCCTTGTTCTGTTTATAAAGCCTTTTAACCTGAATTAGAGCAGTTATTACATGTATCCTTATGATTTTACTTGACCTGATTTATATCTTGGTAACTTGTCTTTATTATCCTACTTTTGGCCCTTAACATATTCCAGTTCGGTCCTTTATAATAAGACACATAAATTTTGACTCTTGTAAGATACTACTCTAATTTGGTGCATGTAGAGATTCTTCAGAACACAAAGGATCTATTTAAGCAATATTTTTCTAATTTGAATAACAATGATGACAGCAATTGTTGCTTCCGTAGCAGAATCACCGTAGCAAATTGATTGTTACTTTGTCAACTAGAGATGTTGCTGCAGCAATAACATTTTCCGTAATAAGTATAATGTCATAAGTTTACAAGCTGACGCACTGTTGAATTTAACAGGTTAAGCATTTTGGCAAATGCTCAAATGCGCCTGGCTAGGCTGGATGAGTTGCGACAAGCAGCTAAAACCGGGGTAGAAATGCGTTATGAGAGGGAACGTGAGATTCTTGGCTCAAAAGTGGAATCTAGGGTTCAGCAGGCGGAGGCAAATAGAATGCTTATCCTCAAGGCTTACAGCCAAAGAAGAGCCAAATTAAAGGAGAGGTCATCTCAGTCATTGCTGCGAAGGATGGCTCGTGAGAGCAAGTATAAGGAGCGTGTCCGTGCTGCAATTCACCAGAAGCGAGCAGCTGCTGAGAAGAATAGACTACGATTGTTGGAAGCTGAGAAGAAGAGGGCACGTGCTCGGGTGCTACAAGTTAGGCGGGTAGCTAAAATTGTCTCTCACCAACGTGAGCTTGAAAGGAGGAGAATGAGTGATCAGTTGGAAGATCGTCTGCAAAGGGTATGCATATTTTGTTTTCTCAAATAGCTTTGTCAATCATATTGATGTAGGACAAATAGGAAGGATGGCTATTTAGTCCTTCTCTATTTATTTTTGGGATTGAGTCTTTTCGTTTATGTAGTCTTTTAACTAATTGTTTTATTGGATTAGGCTTTCTTATTTCATTATTTTTATCCTTGTTACTGTTTTCTAGCTATCTCTTCTTGATTTCTCTTCTCAACCGAGTCTTATCTTCTTTTCTACCCTTCTAGTTCTTATTCTTGTATGTAATTCTCTCTATTTCTTGGTTATTTTTCTTTATCTATCTTCTTCTATATTCTAATTGAATTTTATGATATCAGGCAAAGAGACAAAGAGCAGAATATTTGAGGCAGAGAGGACGGCTAAATAATCCTGTTTCTTTTAGGATGTGCAAACAGGCTGATCACCTTTCGAGAAAATTAGCGAGGTATACAAATTTGATTTTACTCTTTGAGAGTTCCATAAATTAGTTATATTCCTTTAAGATAAGCTTCTTGGATCTCAGCAATGTCATTAAGGTGCAGTTTTAGCTTTTGAGTTTGAAGATAAGATTTTAACCTTAATAGGTATGTTATTGTTTTAGGTGCTGGAGGCAATTTCGTAATAAGAGGAGAACTACCTTGGAGTTGGCAAAAGCTTATGATGCCTTGAAAATTAAAGAGACTTCTGTCAAGACAATGCCATTTGAACAGTTGGCCCTTCTGATTGAATCAACTGCTACCCTTCAATCTATGAAAGCTCTACTTGACCGGCTCGAGAGCCGCCTGAAAATCTCCAGGGCTGTTGGTGCTGTTGACGATCACACATTCAGTTTAGATAACATTGATCACCTTCTCAAAAGAGTTGCTTCTCCCAAAAGAAGGCTTAATTCCCGAACTCCTTTGAAGAGCAGAGATGCAAAGAAAGTAGGTCCCCCTAGGGAGGCTGGCAAACGTCCAGCTAAATTGTCTAGGTATCCAGTGAGAGTAGTTCTTTGTGCTTACATGATTTTGGGTCATCCAGATGCAGTGTTCAGTGGTCAAGGAGAGCGTGAGATTGCTCTGGCCAAGTCTGCAGAACAATTTGTTCGACAGTTTGAGATTTTGATAAAGATTATATTGGAGGGGCCAATACAGAGTTCTGATGAAGAGTCTGACTCTTTGCTGCCAAAACGTTGGACCTTCAGGTCTCAGCTTGCTGCTTTTGATAAAGCATGGTGCTCCTATTTGAACTGTTTTGTGATGTGGAAAGTTAAGGATGCCAAGTCATTGGAAGATGATTTGGTGAGAGCTGCTTGCCAGCTTGAACTCTCTATGATTCGTAAATGCAAGATGACCCCAGATGGAGAAAATTCTGCTCTTACTCATGATATGAAGGCTATTCAGAAACAGGTATGGATATCATTTTCATAGAGATCACCTAACACTACAACATGAATATGTTTTAGCAACTCATTAGACTAAGCCATTTTCTTAAAGTATTTTCTGCTGTTCTTTCCGAAGAAACATGATTTTATCTAGTTCTTAAAGAATTCTGGATGGTTGAAAACAGACTTCGTTTTAAGGCATTTTTATATTTGAAAGAGTTCCTGCACAGTAAGCATGTTAATTATAACAAGGGTTTAGGTTCTCTCTTTTTTGGGCATGTTTCCATGTTTTTGTTTGGGTTTTTTAATGTAATGTCCTCTATACTAATATTGGCTAATCTATGAACTTTGCTTCATGCAGGTTACAGAGGACCAAAAACTTTTAAGGGAAAAAGTACATCATCTCAGTGGAGAAGCTGGGATTGAGCACATGGAATCTGCGCTATCTGAAACTCGATCTAAGTACTTTGAAGCAAAGGAAAATGGAAGTCCAGTCGGATCTCCAATCACAAACTTTTTAACCCCTAGTCCATCTAGTTCCCCAACTGTTCCTCCATTTGTTGCTAGTGTGGATAGCAGAAGTAATCTGACCAAGGGTGTTGAGAGGCCAAGTAGTGTTGTTCGCTCCTTATTTAAGGAGAACGCATCCCCACCCAAAGGAATTGATTCCTCTGCAGCTAGTACCAGCCATGAAGATGGTTGGTTGGGTTCGTCCCTTGAAAAACAGCAGGTCACTGAGAATGAATTGATAGTTAATGAGTTTGTCCATAACCACTGTGCTTTTGTTGATAGCTCCATCACCGATGACGATCAAAACAGTGTCAAGGTTAGTGCAGTTGTATTGTTATAAATAATTAACCCGGACTTGATGACTGTTGTGTGGGGAACTGTGTAGTTGTCTAATTAACATTTTTGCTTATTTCTAAATAACCAGAGACCACCCTATTACTGCCTTTTGCCATTTTTGAGTTTCTATGTGGAAAATTATAAATACTGTTACAACCGCCATCAACATCTGGTTCTGGAAATGCTTGGTTTTAATGTTGGAAGTCACATTGGTCCCCAGTGGCTTAATTGAATACGATGATAATTTAAAAAATTTGGCACTGATTTGTTGCATTTGGCAGTCAAAGATAAGAGAGACAATGGAGAAGGCTTTCTGGGATGGCATCATGGAATCCCTGAAACAGGATGTGCCTAAATATGACCGGGTTATTCAACTTTTGAGTGAAGTGAGGGATGAAATTTGTGAGATGGCTCCTAAGAGCTGGAAAGAAGAGATTACTGAAGCTATAGATCTGGAATTTCTTGCTCAGGTAGTAGCCACTGCCTTATGCCATTGCTGCATCATATGATGCCATAAATTCTAATTTGTTGTTAATTTCTTTCCTCAGGTTTTGAATTCAGGTTACCTGGACATTAATTATCTTGGAAGGATTCTGGAGTTTGCCTTGAGCACTTTGCAGAAACTCTCGTCTCCAGCCAAGGATGATGAGATGAAGACCAATAACCAGAATTTATTGAAAGAGTTAACTGAGATATGTCAGGCCAGAGATGGATCAAACTATTCACCTGTTATTGCAATGATCAAAGGTTTTCGCTTTGTTCTAGAGCAGATTCAGGTGAGTGTTTCTTTGATCTTATGTCCTTGGCTTTGTAAATATTAAAGGATTCAAATGCAAGCCTCATGAGTTGAGTGATTTAATCTTTGAATTATTGCATGAGAGTTCACTGACTTTATATATTGATGCTGTTTTATCCGTTTAGTAAAACTGCTGGATTTAGAAGATTCATATTAGGATATGCATTGCTAGTGAAGCAATTGGAAATTATGACACTGTTTTTGCCTCCTTATGTAGTATAACATGGAAATATTTTCTGTCAGGCTCTAAAACGGGAGATAAGCAAAGCGCGCATAAGACTCATGGAGCCTTTGTTGAAGGGGCCTGCTGGTTTTGACTACCTTAGAAAAGCTTTTGCAAACCGATATGGACCCCCCTCTGATGCTCACAGCTCTTTACCATTGACTTTACAGTGGCTTTCATCTGTTTGGATGTGCAAAGATCAGGAATGGGAAGAACACATGAATTCTCCTTCAGCTTTGACAGGTCATAAAAGTTCGTCTGGAATGCGTCTGCCTTCTACCACCCTTAGAACCGGTGGAAGCTTTCTGGTCAAAACAGGTGGAAGCCAAAGTACATCTTCCCCTCGTACTTCAGGTAAGAATTTGATTTCTAGGGATCTTTTTTAGTGTTAAAGTAGTTAGTTTATTAACATTTTTCTTAATTCATCCTGTTGGTTTTCTCTCTCTGGATCAGGTAATCAGCAACCAGAATGTAAGGGAGAAAAACTTGATTTGTCAGTGAGGCTTGGCTTGTTGAAGTTAGTAAGTGGGATATCTGGTCTAACGCAAGAATCTTTGCCTGAAACTTTCATGCTTAACATCTCGAGGTTGAGAGCTGTTCAGGCTCAGATTCAGAAGATTATTGTAGTTTCCACGAGGTATGTGGCTTCACCAATTCTTTCTCAGGCTTGATATAGAAACATCATCTTCTCATGAGCTACCTGGTTTCTCATGTACTAATTCTGTTATTCCAATTCCAGCATTCTTCTTTGCCGGCAAACCCTCCTCTGCGAGCGGCCAGTAGCCAGCCCTGCAGACATGGACAATATACTATCTAACTGCTCTGCAAGACTCTTGAAGCTCTTAGACCGCTCTGAAGACGCAGGAATTGAAGAAATTGTTGAAGTAATCGGTGGAGCTTCAAGTGATAATGGCAAGGTAGTTGATTCTGATAAGCTTCAAGTGAGAAAGGAAGTAATTGCCAGGACGCTGGCAAAAAGCTTTCAAGCTGGAGATGCAGTATTTGAAAAGGTATCTCGAGCTGTATATTTAGCTGTAAGAGGAATTGTGCTTGGGGGAAGTGGAAGCAATGGAAGAAAATTGGCAGAAATGGCCCTCAGGCAGATTGGAGCAGTAAGCCTGACTGAAAGGGTGGTGGAAGCTGCTGAAGTTTTGGTGGTGGCAGGCACCGTCTCTGTAAGTGTTCATGGGCCATGGTATATATACGTAACTGATAACATGTGAAGGGATTGGATTGTGAATTTGTGAAGAAGAAATAAAGTAAACACACTTGTGCATAATAGTAGTGTGTGTAAAGCTGATGTATGTAGAGTGGACAACTGGACATTATTTGATTGAATTAATTGTGGGAATATTACTGTCTTTTCCCTCATTGTAATTGAACATGTGAATAGTGTTTAGAATAATTATGAACACATCCATTTCCTTCATAATGTATTAAATATTTTCCCATCTTTTTATAATTTCTTAAGGATGTGTTTGATATTTATAGAGATTTTTAATACTTTATAATAAAACGGTTAAATTTATAATGCTAAATTATTTCATAGGTGAAAATTAAATAAACCCTTAACCCCTAATACAACTTTACAAAAATTTTGTTAAAAAGAGTTGATGTAAAGGGTTAAAATTTGGGGGCATGTTGAAAGTTGATGTAAAGGGTTAAAATCTGGGGGCATGTTGAAACTTGAAAGTAATTGCAGGGATACGGTCCCAAAAATTGGGGGGAGTTTATTAAAAAGACATTTGGAGTTAAAATTTAATTAAAAGGTTATGTAGTTTGTAAATGTTAACTAAATAGCCTTATTTTTTATTAAGCTTAATTAAATATGATTAGGGGTTAATTAGGATTAATGAATAATTGTGTAATCTTTTAAAAATTATAATATATCCCCAAAGAGTCGAAATTCTTTTAAATAAACCCAAACACCTTCTTCTTCTTCCTCCCGTCACGTTAACGCATTCCTCCGTCATTAACAACTTCTCCAACACAGATCCTTCTCCTCATCCTCCTCCTCCTCCTCCTGACATTTCGTCCAGGTATGTGTATCTCCATTTCGATTTCATATTTCGATTTACAAAGATCTGGGTTATGATTTTGATTTAGCATGGATTGGGTTTGGGTTATGATTTTGATTTAGTTGTTTAGGTTGTTGGGCTATGTTTGATGTAATGGAAGTTGAAAGGAGTGAAATATGTTGAAAATTTGTTCTTGGTATGTGTTCTGGGTATGATGGATCGATTGTAGGTGGAGATGACTGAAAATGTGTTCTGGGTATGATGGATCGCGGAAGCGTCTGGTACGTCTGGTAATGCAGCAGATAGATCCTTAAGCGATCAGTATGTGCATAAGATCACTTAAGCGATACAACAGATATATAAGCGACTGTGCAGATTCTTTTTAAAATATTTGAACCCTTAGTACACATTTAAGAATATTTTTTTTTTCTTGCATTATAGGTAGTTGGCTATATTACACATGGGACAAGTTGTTTTGGGTGTTTAATTTTGGTGAGTGGGTGGAGGAAGAAAGTAGCTGAAAGTGGATTGGGAAGAGCAAAGAAGTTTACCAATTGCTGAGACAGAGGTTAGTTTTGATGAGTTGATTGATGAATAATTAGAAGAGGTAATTTGAGTTGCTCGTAGTGATATTTGTGAATATGTTTTAAGCAGAGTTCCTGAACCTTATAAGGTATCTCTTCTATATTAAAGTCGGATGAAAGTGTGAAGTTTATATGATTGGTGTGGCCGATAATGGTTCGAGGCGATTTAAGGGTTTCTTTTGAAAAAACCGTTGGAAGTTGGTTCAAAGGAAGGGGATAAAGGAAGTAGGCGAGATTTGCCTGGTTTTAATTTGAACTACGAGGCCATTGATTTGTTATTGACAAATCGAGATGTAACGGAATTGGGTGAGAGGAACCGTAGAAGAGGTTGGTGATGGGGGCACGAAAATGTTGAGGGGAGGACCCCGTAGATATGTTCCACAGATGTAGAGATTCCTTTAAATACAGATTATGCGAAGGCGTAGATTGTGAGGAAGAGAACACTATGTCGTCTATGCAGGTTAGAGGGGGCAATTGGAGGTAGTAGTGATCAGCTCATGTTTTTACGGAGGATCGGAGTTGCGCATAGGGTATTATTTGACAACAAGAGGAGTGGTGAGGAAGCTAAAATTGTTGCCATGAGAGGTAATTTTGAGTTCATACAAAAAGTCAAATTCATTGGCTGTGACGGTTGCATGTCGTGACCGAAAGTGCAAGTGGCGGTTTATGTAGAGGTTGGCGGAGTTCGGAAAAATTTATCTTAGCACATATACCCGTGAGCACACATGTGGTTTGTGACACATTTCAGGGAGCATCGACAAGCGTCCAGCATGTTATTGGACAATTTGTCAAATTGGTTCGTTGAGGGAAATCACCTCTCCTAAAGACATTCACTGTGCGCCAGAGTTGGGATGTGCTGTTAGTTACTGGAATGTTGGAGGGAGACAACATGCACAAGATTTGTGAGGGGCATGGAGCACGGGTACGCAGTATTGAAGCGATCGTTATATGCTGAGTTGACCACCAAGGTAGCAGACGGCTTGAGATGGGACAGGAAATGATGTTTAATATTTTTTGTTGCTTACGGTTCTGCTATAAGGGTTTTGTAAACATGAGAAAGGTGTTGGCTGTTGATGGTTGCTTTTGACGGGAAGTATGGAGGTACATTGTGGTGGCCACTGCACAGGACAACGAGAATCACCACATATCTGTTGCAGGTGTGTGGTGACTCTGAGAATGATGAGTCTGGACTTGGTTTTTTCAGACAATTCGTACGATAGTGCCTGATACAGTGATGAGTTTGTATAATATCCGTAGGCACAACTCTATAAAAGAAGGGGATGCCACATTTACCGTCAAGCACATCACGGTCTGCATGGCCTGGGATTTGCATGAGCACCTTGGTGAGAACATAAACAAAAGTTTAAGTGTGCTGGTGCTCCTTCAAACATACTACATGGCAGCAAAAGCTTATCGGGTTGATGAGTTCGAGGAGCACTTCCAGCAAATCCGAATCAAGGATGAAGAGTTGCAAGTATTAGCATGATGTTGGTTTGAGCGATGGAGTGAGCTTACTTTCCTGGAAGAAGGTTGATGTATGACCACGATATAGCGGAGTCCATAAATTCGAAGTTGTTAATAGAAGAGAGTTTCCAATAGTTTGCACTTTTGATGCAATCAGAGGACATTGTCACGGTGGTTCATGAGCGTCGTACGGATCAGCTAATTTTACTACAACATTGTTCCGTCAGCTGACATTATTGCGCGCAGCAGATGGACTTTTCCAATGCCTGTTACCTCTTCCTGCTCGTGTGTCTTGCAGCGCGGTACTGGTCAGCGGCCTCGTTAACCTTGTTAGTAAATTGCCTGTGCTTGCATGCTCTGTTACTTAGTCCCTGCTCATGCGCCGAACCCCGGGTCGATTTGGTTTCGATTCCTGGCTTTGTCCCCTCTCTATTGGCTCTCAGCTCGCTTTTAAAATTCGCCGAGGCTGGGTGACGCGCGTGTGCCTTCTCTCCATCCGCAGTTCACTGCGGTAGGGAGGGGAGTAGACTTTCCTCCGTCTGCAGGTTCCCCGGGATGTCAGTGACTCAATTTGTCAAGCACCCTGGCCCAAGAGAAGCAGTTGCCAGAATTCCATGCAGATCCAGAAATTAGTTTGAAGAAGGATGAATTCAGAGTTGCGAGGCCACCCGTTGAGAGTGATTGTTTTCATTATTGTGGTAAAATTTTATTGTTACCTTAATTAACATCTTCTATATTTCTTGTACATGGCCTAAATATTTGTTTGTGATTTAGTTTGGATTGGTTGCAATTAAGGAGAAAAGTATGGAATAATACGTGTTGGTAATTTTAGTTTGTAAAATTCAGAAGAAAAGCTGGAAAGTATATTTCCCATGGTGCATAAGCTCTATGATATGTCTTCAAACGAAGGAGTTTTCAACAGGATCGCTTAAGCGATATCACGGATCGCTTAAGCGATCGTGCACTGGGCGAAATGATTCTGTCCAGGCCACATGCTATAATCGACCAAGACAAAAAGACACATCGCTTAAGCGCTATCCGGATCGCTTAACGATCATGCACCTAGGCAGATTTGATTCTTCCAATCCACATGATTGCTAAGCGATCCGCTCGCTTAATCGGCCAGTGAAAAAGATCGTTCAGCGATATCACGCTCGCTTAGCCGCGCTGTGTAAACGAAGCCTTTGTATGATCGCTTAATCGACCACACGAAAATATTTAAAATTTAAACAATACACCCCACCTACCCACTTCCCAGATTTGGCCACCATCGTCGGAATCCTACCGGAAAGGGCGTTACGACACATAGCAGTCGGATCAGGCTGATAGGGCGTCGTATGGCCTTTCCGGCAGATCGACCATGGATGTGGTGGAAAGGCCAGATCACGGCATCGCTATACGCGAGAAAAAGTCGATATCTGGCCGTCTGCGACGGCCAAATATATGGCTTCGTTTTCGGTCAACGATGCCTAAGATTGGGCGTTAACGTCGGCCCTTTCTTTGAAGTCGATGACAGCCAGTGGGCTTTCGGCCAGATCCACAGTGGATCTGCCAAAAAATGTCACATCTGGGAATTGTACCGACATTTATCGTTTGTAGCCGTCGTGGTGTCGAATCTGGGAAGTGGGTGGGGGGGGTGTTTTTGTTACTTTTTAAACTTTTAGCAGGTATTAATGAAATAATTTAGTAAGGGTCTAAAATTTATTAAAAAAAAATACTAATATTTCCTAAATAATAATAAAAAAGAAATATTTGGGAATGATTTATATTTATAGGAATATTAACCAACGACCCTTTATGTTCTGACACAAAGAGAAGAACATATGTTCACTAAGATTCCATGGTTACTTTGAAATATAACTCGTCATGGTTACTAAATGATCGTAAACCCCATTGTTTAGCATGCGTAAACATTCTACACCTAATGTTTCATACTGACGAAGAACTATAGTTTAATATAAATATAAACCGTCATAGTCCACGAACGAATCATAAAAACCACATTGTTTAGCATAGACGTAAACATTGTACAACTTATATGTTTCTACGGACGTAAAAGAACTATAATATTAATATAATATAATAACGGTCATAGTCCACTGACGAATCGTAAACCTATATGTTTAGCATAGACGTAACAATCTCACCTTACATGTTCATACTGATGTAAAAGAACTATATGTTTAATATAAATATAATAACGGTCATAGTCCACTGAACACCTTTGCAAACCCTATATGTTTAGCAAGACGTAACAGTCGACACCTTACATGTTTCATATGAGTAAAAGAACTATTTGTTTAATATAAAT